ATTCATGTTAAAATTCGACACTCTCCAAGAAGGAATGAACAAACACTCAAACTATCTTACCCATTACCAAGATAGCTTCCCCAATTATCACCTCTAATACCATTAGCTCACAAACATCCCACTCTCCCCACCTCTAATATCATCAATTCACAGACACTTACCTTCCTTCCTCCCCCTCCTCCTCCGCATCCCCCTCCTGTTCTGAAATGTGATTTGTCCTTTTCATATGTGTTCATTTTTTTTTATTGTATCCTTTGGTATATACGGTTGTCACTGTTTTCTTCCACTATTTGATCTGAGGAAGTGGGTCTGGCCCATGAAAGCTCATCATCTGATAAACCATCTTGTTAGTCTTTAAAGTGCTACATTGTCCTGCATTTTGCTTCAGCTACCCCAGACTAACACGGCTACATTTCTATCACTTTCCTTTTTTAAGTAACTTACTTTGATCTGTTTGTTTTCACTTGCAATCACTTAAATCCTACTGTACTAAAAACAGTTGCATTTACTACTATTTACACAGGCTTGGTGTAAAAAATTGTTATGTGTGGGGAATATCAAACGTGCCCTAGAAATGCTAGAATTGCATTTTCCTAGAGTTGAACTGATTCAGTGTCTGCATTAGTCTTAAAGGGGGTGGTAAGCCCAACTCTGTTCCTTGTCTGGGGGAGACCAGAGAATCTGAGCTAGCAGAACAGTGTGTTGGGGAGCCCCAGAGAACAAAAAGGCAGGTGTCAGTAGCATGATAAGCACTTTGGGGAAAAATCCGAAGGGGTTTTCTGTGACTGCATGCCATCACAGTGGCACAGCAAGAAGGGTAATGTGCACAGCTGGTTGCTCTGGTTGATAGTAGCGATTTTAAGTGTGTTCTAAGTGTAGTGTTTAGTGAACCAAGTAGTTGCTGGTTTGTTGTTTTCTGTTTGCTTACTTTGGGTAAGGAAAATAGAGGCAGGAAAATCAGCAAAAAGAATGAGAAAAAAACTGGAACGTCAAAGAGCCTAAGCAGCAGAGAAGAAGGCAGAATATAAAAGACAAATGGAAAGAAAAAAGCGTGAGGTAGAAGCCATGCTGCCAGGAAAAAGGCTGCCCATGAGAAAGCCCTGGAACTCTTGAAAAAGCTTAAACAAAAGGCTGCTCATGAGCTAACTCTAGAAATCCAGAGGGAAGCCTAAAAGCTGCGTGAGGAGAGGGAGAGACTGAATGAACTGGTTGTATTTGACTAAGAGTTAGCATCCCAATGCTGTAAGACCCTCCTCTCCAAAAATCCAAGAGTAGGATGAACTGTGCCAGCTTATAATGAGTCTAGAGATATTGCTGAATATTTCATCACCTTTGAAAGTGTGCACTTGGTCAAAATGGAATTCCAATAGTAGGTGGTATGGTCACATGTCTTACTAGTCCAGTCACCTTTGGATTTACAAACTAAACAAGGCTGTTTACAAGTTATTCAACTGATCACCCAATGGTTCATGCTTCTGAAGCACAAGTGATGGCTCTCAATAGAACTTTTTATAATATAAACAGTCTCATACGCCTATTTCTAACTTTCCATACAAGAATGATACATGCACCAAAATAGGATATACAGATCCAGCAGACTCTGTAACATTCAGATTGATAAATTACATAAGGTACATCTTTGAGCTATGCATGTTTATATTCTTAAGCCCAATTTCATAAAGCATGGGTGGGGGAATGTCACAGTTCTACAGCCATGCTTGTGGAGTTGCCCAGTGAACTGAACCACAGGGCTCTCCTGAGAATCAGTGGCAAAAGAAGCAGTACTCCCAGTGTTGGCAGCTCCTTCAGTAAGGCTGTAATGATACCACCCCTAACCATGCCCTTTTGAGGCCTTAACAGCTCCACTGACAGGAGATGCAATTGCATAGAAGGGCTGGTGCAGAGCTGGAGTCCTTATAGACACGCTGGAGGCATGCTCAGCATGGGGCCATCCAGCAGCACCATGTTCTGCTCCTTTCGCCACTGTTGTTCCTGGGAAAGCCTTGCAATTCAGAAATCAGTATCTGGCCCAGCAGGAGGACAGCCCACTCTCTGCCCCTCCCCCAAGTAATGTTGGATAAAACGGGACAAGGAGAGCATGAGGACTATGGGCTGAGGTCAGGAAGAAGTTACCTAGAGGCTTCACATAGAGGCGTCACATGCCCTGCCTTTATCTGGTGCTCCCATTGTGTCTCTGCCATGATTTACCGACACAAGTATCCTGATGATTCCAAGACACATGTGGTTGGAATTAAAGGGGGGTATTGACATATATTCAGTGAAGATGGAAGGCCTGATGCCTAGGGACAACAATTAAGACTTTGGTAATATAAAGCAAAGTTAAGCTGTGAGGAAAAAGGAGGCTTTTCTAATAGAATTCCTACTTCAAAGTAGGAATAAGAGATCCTCCGGAAAAGGGCTTTATTCCGGAGGATCGCGCCAGTCTAGACACTTTTTTCCGGCTTTTCCCCAAGCCGGAAAAAAAGCGGCGGCCATGTTTATTTAAATCCCGCGGGGGATATTTAAATCCCCCGCGGATTTCCCTATTCCCAAATTCAAAATTAGCATGCCCCTTCCGAAGAAGGGGCCAGTGTAGACGTAGCCACCGAGTTCATGGTTTAAAACATGTTTCTCCAAGTGTTCCATGGGCCTGCTTTGAGAAACCAGCTAGCAGGCCCACGCCGCTTTGTTTATCTAAAGGGTCTATAGCCACGGAGCCTTGCAGCTCCCAGTGGCTCTGGTTCACCATTTCCCCTGGCTCCCCTTGGCTGGAAACACTGAATGGGAGCCACAAGGCTCTGTGGCTATGGACCTTTTAGGTAAACACAGTGGCAGAGGCCTACTAGCAGCTTTCCCAAAGCAGGCCCGACAATCACTTTGAGACACACTGGTGTAAAACACTAAACGGTGCCATGCACAGGCTATCAACACATTGCAGGAGGAGTAATGGTAGTTGGAATTAGGGGCTTTAGTTCGAGCTACCTAGACCTTGCCGAGTGTAGCCGCGGGCAGGGAGTCCGAACTACCAGGCATTTAAAAATGGTGGTGCCCGGGAACATGCAAATAAAGCCCGGGATATTTTAATCCCGGGCTTCATTTGCAAGTTCAAATGACTACATTAACCACCCTAGTTCGAACTAGGGAGGCTAGTGTAGACATACCCTTGGTGTGTTGGCTATTTGTGCAAGCCAACATGATACACAGAGGGGCCAAACATTCAGCCAAATGTTTATCCTGATTGATGGAGTAGGAGACCTGGTGGGACATTTCACTGGTGAATCCTGGCTCCTATAGTGGCATCTGTTTAATTTTTCATGGCCTGATTTTCAAAGGCATTGAGTCAGATTCAAGTAGCCAGGACCTCAGGAAGTCAGATAAGCTCTATTTTAAAATTATGTCAAGAGTAAATATCTTTGCTCATCAGCAGATGTACAACAGTTATACAATATGATTTTCCTCTGAAAATAACAGATCTTCGTAACACTTAATGCATTAAGATAGATCAGACTATTAAAACCATTAGGGTTTGTTAATATTTTATAAAGATTAAACTATGAAGGCTGCTGGATATCTAAGAATTAGAGGAAAATGGCTAGATAGAAAAAGTAGAAATATTGCTCCTAAACTGCTTCTTTTACTGGTTGTTTTCATAAGGAATCTCTTCAGAAAATATTCCTAAATTCTTTTGAGAGAAACCCTGAGGAAAAATATAGTATGTCAAAAGTTTATTAACAATTGATATTTATAATCTGCCAAAGGTGGGTCTTCTACCTATTTCCTTAATTTATTATATGAGTACCTTTCTTCATAGTATCTGAGCATCCTGACACTTATGACACATGCTAGAATCTACTAACAGCATACAATAGTTCCTATGTCATTCCTCAACTTGAAAAGTTGTACTATAAAATAAAAAATGTGTGTTGCAGAATTTAAAAAAGCTAACCTATTAAACTGAATGTAAAATCACTAAGTTAGACGCACAGCATGATATAAATGCATATAAGAAATACTGACTCTTGGAGCAAAAGTGCTTCCACTATAGTTTATCATTTGATTTAATTGACATAGGTACATTCCCCATAATTTGATGTAGTGGTATAATTTGAAAGTCATTTTTGGGGGGAAATAAAGGAGTGAGTTCAACATACAGCTTTGCACATTATATTTTAAGGAGCATGGCTGCTCCAAGCTTCCCTTTTTAGAGATGAGTTTATTGCAAGGGATTTTTTTTTTAGCAAGGACTGTATTAGTGGTTTAGATCAATGAGTTTGAATGCTCAGTCAGTTCCCAAGAATCAATGGGAACTTGGCACGGCTACATTTCTATCACTATTGGAGTACAAGGAAACTGTAATCAGATTAATATGTGCTAATATACAACTGTATTAATTCCAGATATTTCCCATATCAGTACTCTGGGCTTACTATGGTACCTTGACCACTACATAACTTCAATGTGATTTTTCTATAATAACACTCATTCACCAACGTAGTTATTACAATATATTAATATGAAACATGACAAGACAGGCTTTCAAGCTGAGAAACATTTTAGTTAGAATAAATGTAATTATAAAGCTATTCAAATTGCTTTAATATTGTTATTTGTTTTGAGAGGTGGGAAGGGAGGGAGGTGTGTAATTCTTCACAGTCCTTGATTTTGTAAAACATAAAGCTTACCTTTCCCTTTCGCTAAGTTCCTGTTATATCCTACAGGACTAAAGTACTCAAATATAAAGACAGCCATGGCGGACACAATGAGAAGCATCACAAACATCATCACCCAGACAGAAGCACTAAAAGGCTCTGCAGCAAAACAGACAAAAGAAACAAACACAATTCATTAAACTAGTCACAGCACAACAAGAATTCTAATGTCTAGCAACTTTTTTGTAAACTATCTTTTACCACCAAAACACTAACTATGTAACGATATAGAATGAGAGGTCTGGTTGAATGGAATATTGAAAGAGGAAGAACCTGCAATCTGTCCTTGATTGCTGCTTCTATATTTAATTGTAAATAAAATTAAAATATTAATTCATCTTGAGTTGAAATTCAAGAATGGAGGCTGCATTTTGCTATAAACACTGGGCAAAATCTATCTCACATTAAATTTTAGTTTGATTTTTATCACATATCTACTGATTATTTGGTTCTCAATTATATAAGCATCTTGTAATTTTTGTTTATACATTTAATTATATATGCCTATATAAATATAACCACCCTAATCTATCTGAATCAGGATTATAATGAAGTACATATTCATCTCTTCCCCCCTCCCCCCATTTTCCCCCATTTATCTTAGCTAAGCCAAACTGTCAGGAAAAAGGGTAAATATCCGACTTTACAGACAAATTTAAAGAAAAACATTTACCATGCTCAGAAAAGGAAAGGATTTGCTGCTTGGAGAATCAGTTTATACCCATAATTATTACAAATATTACAGTTCTATTGAGGTTAGTACAATGAATCTATAATTTCTGAGCCTGTGATGATGAATCAGGGAATTTAGGTATCTTGCTGTGGGGACATCACTCAGATGCCTCATGTAAGGGCATGTGACCACAGAACACTGAAGAGAGCTTTTACTTTACTTTTTTTCTTCTCTTCCATTGAGCAGGCATTGCTATATGTTTCTACAATATGCAAAGATACCAGTTTGCAAGTTACATTTTAATCTCTGGATTAAAAGTTTCTTAAGGTAAATAGTAACAGTTCTTGGCTGGCTTTTTAGCAGGTGTATCAATTTTGCTAAATCTGAATGACATGTTTTGAAAGATCATTTGAAAAGGGAGTGATGGACAGAGATGTATTTATTTAAATAAGATATCTCAGACCCATCTGAAATGAGAATAAAATTGCTGGCACAATGTAGCAAATAAGCAAAATAAGAAGTTTCTTAAGAGGTACAGGAAACTTCCACATTCATTTGGAAGTACACAGACATAAGGGAAGCCCTTTTAAGAAACCCAGCATTTGTTGATAACTGCTAATAATTGTAAGCTTCAGGAGGGTAGCTGAGTTAGTCTGTATAGGATAAACTTAAACAACAAATGGTCTGGTAGCACTTTATAGACTAACAAGTAGATAGTATCATGAGCTTTCGTGGGCACAGACCACTTCTTCAGATGACCAGAGTGTTAATTATTCTTATATCGATTGGCATAAGAGACATAAAAATGAGAGGTTAGGATGTATTTTCAAAGCAGTATTGAAAACCCAAAGATAATTTGAGAGGCTGATTTAGAAAAAAAACTTAATACATTTTAATTTGGGAGAACCTAGTCAAGACACGACTTGAAATACTGATCAGAGGTTATAGAGTACAGTATTAGAAAAATTGTCTCAGAGGTAATAGAATGTCTGAGGATTTCTGTTCAGAAATAAATATTATATACAAAATATTCAAAACTCAGCTCAAATTAAACTCGAATAGAAATAAAACAGAACAGGGCACTGCAGCTAAGCTGAGCTATAAATACAAGTTTAAGAAATTGCTCTTAAATAATATAAAAAGCCTGGTGATGAGGTGGAGAATTTAAAAAAACAAACAGAAGCAAACCAAAAAGAGCAAAAAGCAGCACTGAACAACAAATGTAGACTAAATAACTAAGTGGATCGTCATATCTCACATTGTTACTTATAACAGGTCTGACCCAGTCAT